TGGAGGCTGAAATTCTTTTAATCACAATTTTGATTTATTCGCAATCATCAATTCACATTCACAGCCAAATCGGTTAGCCAGCACCACCGTCACCACGCCGCCAGGTAAGTTCTCTCCATCCATGTGGATGGAGAGATACGGGCGCCTCCCCCTACACCATCGCCCTAGACTCCTTCACCATGGTGCCCTAGACTCCTTCACAACTGACCCGATTATCTCGACGGAAAAAGATTAATCTCAATTAAATTATCTTCTTCGACTTCGCTATTATAGCCATATGGAGCTCTTTCTTTTCCTCCCAAAACCCCTCGTTTCCTTCTCCTTCACTTTCGTATTCTTCATGTATAACCTCCAGCGGAGCCCTCACGTTCCATTCCACAAAATAATCAGCCAAAAAATTGGGACCAGGATTCGAATTCGGGCTCGGGGTACTTTCGGATTCATTCGAGACCCGGTAGAGATCATTATCAGAAAATTCTTCATTCTGCGGCAATAATTTGCGCGTTGAATCGGATCCTACTTCCTTTTGGGCATCTTGACTTGCACCGAGCAGGAGAAGATAGAGTAAGATAATTGAGGTAAAAAATAGAGCTGGCGAGGAAATAAGTCCATGACAAAAAGTTGGGAAGTAGAGTAGAATTAGAATGTAGAGAGTGAAAATGGTAGAGAATAGAGAGGTACAGATTCTCAAAATGGTGGAATTCTTATTAGTTGATGGAGGAGAGTGTTTGGGGTCCATCGAGATATAGGGTCTCTGATATGCTCAAGAAAGGGGCTAAAATGGGGATGACAGTTTGCAGGACTTGGGCTTTCAGTGATGGTGCTGCTGGGTTACTAGAAGTCTGAGTTGTTGGTGTCTTCAAAGAAAGGGTTTTCAAGGTTTTCAATTTTTATTTTACTGTCAGATTAATCTTTTATTGCTTTGATTATTGACTACCCTTTGGTTAATATATTCAATTTAGTTTCACGAAGTTCTTTTCTGTTAATATATTATCTATTGTAAAATTCTTGCCATAATTTGTTTGTTGAAAATTAAATTTAGTTAGTTGGAATTGATTGTTGATTACCTTTTTCTTAATATACTCAATAATAATTTAGATATTTGGCAATTCTTAAATTGGCTTTTTAGCGTTTTATTATGCTAAAAAGACAGTTTTAAGCACCGCCAAACATCCTTTTGATTACCATTCCTTTTATATTCAATTTACTTTCATGAAGCTCTTACTTTTTATTATTATTAGTGTTGTTGTTGTATCAGTTATGAAATTTCTTGCCATAATTTGTTTCTTGAAAATCAAATTGGAAGTTATTGTTGTCTTGTGCCGGGGGTTAGAATTTCGGGGAAAATC